TCCCTCCCTCCCCCCGGCACCTCCTCCACGAGATGGCCCCCTCCCTCCCCCCACCCTCCCCATGAGATTGCCGCTCCCTTCTCTTCCCCCACCTCTCCACCATAATACGCTCCCTCCTCCTTCCCCCACCTCCTCCACGAGATGCGTTCCCCTCCCTCCCCCACACCTCCTCCACGAGATGCGCCCCCTCCCTCCCCCCACCTCCTCCACCAGATACGCTCCCTCCCCCCCCCCACCTCCTCCACGAGATAACGCTCCCCTCCCTCCCTCCCCCCACCTCCTCCACCAGATGCGCCCCCCTCCCGCCCCCCACCTCCTCCACCAGATACGCTCCCCTCCTCCCCCCACCTCCTCCACCAGATACGCTCCGATCCCTCCCCCCCACGAATCGATCCCCTCCCTCCCCCCACCTCCTCCACCAGATACGCTCCCCTCCCCTCCCCCCACCTCCTCCACGAGATGCGCTCCAATCCCTCCCTCCCCCCACGAGATGCGCCCCCTCCCTCCCCCCCAACCTTCTCCACGAGATGCGCTCCCCCTCCCTCCCTCCCCACACGAGATGCGCTCCCCTCCCCTCCCTCCCCTTCCATTTATTAGTTTCTAGTGACGTAGTTTCAAGGCGATGTAAATGAACGGGCCACAATAAAACGTAGTATTGTCACAATTTTGGGGATGAAGCGTGAGAATCCCACGTTCCACAAGCAGCTATGACACGTTTGGCTGTGAGACTGAGTTGTCTGTGAAACCATTATAAAGCGTATGCTTTGTGATGTAGTACAGAGGTCCACCTCAGTAACGTTTTATGTGTTTCTTCCATCCAGTATGAATAAATATTAGAAATACACCTGTCAGTGTAATCCAGTTAAATTCAGCAGCATCACAAACTAGATGTTCTCTTGTTGTTTACGACACGGTGAGAGTTGGCAGCTCTGTGCTTCGTAACAAACAAACAGGGACAGTTTAACACAGTGTTGTCAAGGTGTGTTGTGTCAACTGGACGAGATGATTGACAACCCTGCAATGAGTGTATTATTGTAGAAGCAGGCAGGTCCACGTGGAGTCAAATTAGCAGTAGGGGGAATATTGCAGTACACAGCGCACTCGTCCACACACACGTTCCCCACCACTAAGGCCCAAATAACACATCCTCCACGTCTGTTGTCACTGTTCACATAGAAAGAGAGAGGACAGTGCGTTTAAATACTGGCGGTGGGCGGAGAAAGGTGCTGATCACCTGACGAGCTGCAGGTTCTGTAAATACCACGTGAACTGAAGCATCACAGCGAGCGCTTTGTGCACGTTGGCCGTGGTGCCGATAACGCTGCGTTTGCAAAGGTCCTACATGAGGGCCTGAGGGCCTTGCTCATGAGACGAAGCAGCATTAGGATAGCGCCTATTTGGTTTTTCACCGCGGCTTCAGCAAGGTTGCACTGGAATCCAGAAACAAGACGTGTTTTTGCTGCTTGTGCGTCTTGGATCTTTTGAAGATACACCAATGACTGCACCATTGTGAACTAGCAGGGCGCTAAGCAACAAGGGCTCCCGGTGTTAATTGGAACCTTATTAAATGCCCATCATGCTCTGCACCCACGACAGTCTCCAGGTAGCTACCACGGCTGTTTGAAGGCGCTGTTCACTCGACACTGAACTTCAAACCAGCCTCGAGCTCATTACGAGCCTACAAAGAGCCGACCTCACCCAGGCTCATTTGTGACGAGGGGAGTCCGTGACAGCCTCTCAGGGAGGCGGTTGTGGAATAGGTTGGGCTGGTGCAGTCCGGGGGGGAGGGAGGCGGGGGGAGGTGGGGCTGGGGAGCACGCTGCAGGTTCAGCAGCGGAGATATCAAACGCGTCGACACATCAAAAGGTGACGTACGCCTCCTCCCCGCGTCTCGCCTTTCTCTTCCCTCCGTTACCAGGGAGAGGGGCTGATGTCGCCTGGGGGGGGGGGTGATGCAAAAAGCCTCTCCAGTCGCCCACTCGTGATGGGCTTGGCACGAGAAGAAAGAAGTGAGATCCATGTAGGGAGGGAGAGGGGTCACATTAAAAGCCAGATCCGCTGGGGGCCCTTGCCGGTTTGGGGACGGGGGGGCTTTGGTTTTTCTATGCCAGCCTTACCCAGTGCCCAGGGAAGAGTACTTCCTTCTGAGTGTGGAGACCTGCCAAGGAGCCAGGTTCTACACAGATATCATAATCTGATATCAATATGATCACTATAATATCATAGTGGTAAAACAAACGTATGCCCCCCGAAACCATGTGGGGGGTAACTTCTGTTCATGGTTGTATGTACGGCTGTAATCCAAGATGGCGACGGCAAAATCAGTAATTGAACCAATGGGTGATGCCGTGATGATTACGTCCACTTCCTACGTCCAGACAGTGCGTGGGTGCTAATTAAAACGGTCTGTCAGGTCCTTTATCAATTGTGCCTTTGTACATGAAATTGCTTCTTGTTTTCCCCCCGGTTGAAAGGTTCTCGTCCCGCCTCCCAACCCAGCTTCCAACTGTTTGTTTCCACCGTCTTTTCATCAACTCGACACTCAGTCTGCTTCAGTCTGCCTCTTCGTTCTCTCACAAACCCCCACCATTTTCTAAATATCATTTTTGTATTGGTAGTGTATCAATATTGTATTCGGCCAACTGAAGACCGACGTTGTAGCATTTTATTCACTCTGTGTGGGAGGCATCTGCAACCTGCTTGACGCTGGTGGAGGCCCCAGAAGCGAGACCCCCACCCGCCTGGTGAACACACCTATTGTTTGAACTTCAAAGCCGCCTGCACAGTGTGTGAAGAGAGTGCCTTTCCCAGCGAGGGGCCTCCTGTTTGGGCTTCAGCCCCCCCCCCACACACTCACAGATGAGAAACAGCCCGTTGTGGCAGTAGAAGGAGCCCATTGGCTGTGGGGCTGCGCTCCGTTACCTGTGCTTATGTCTTTGTTACTGGAGGCAGCAGTTCTTCCTGTGCTCATCCGTCCACACCGTGTTCCTTGTGTCCCACTTGACATGTACTAAGAGGTGCCGCTCAACAGTGAGACTAACGGAGACACATTAACCCATTGGATGGTTCCCAAGGTGTGGACAGCAGGAGCCGGTACCAACACAAAGAGACACTTTTTGTGGTTCAATGAGTTCTAGACCCCCTCTCGCTGCTGCCTTGTGTCTGACTGAAAACTGCCCTCCGCTGGTTTATGTGTGAAACATGTTCAAGTTGGATGTAATCTTTAAGAAGTGCAGAGTTCATGATTGGCGTCGCCCAGGTGGGGCCACATGCAACAGAAGTGTGGTGAATATCTGAGATGCACCAACCCGATGCCAGGCACAGTCACACCGACGATGATGATGATGATGATGATGATGATGATGGAGCCGTGTGTGAGACACATGGTCCTACACATCGGGGCTGGCAGGGGCTGCTCGCCATCTAACAACGGTTGTTTTATCGACCCTTGACTTACACTTAAAACCTCACTGCCTCATCGTCTAATCATCACCACGTTGCGTGTTTTTGTATTTAGATGTACTTTTGTTCCGGAGGGAAATGAATCAGTGACAGCAGTGAGACGTTCTGTCTCTAAGAGGCACAATTCAAAAGGTTCATATACTGCACATGTTTTTCGTCAATTAGGAGGACACGTCCTTCATCTTCCCCTCTTGGACTTTTTCCTTCTACTTTGTAGTCAAAGCATAAAGTGCCCTAGCAATAGTTAACGTTTCCCAATGACACACTGATCAATGACACACTGATCAAAGCACAATGATTCTTGCGTCGGACATATGGGACATATATCGTTTTCGAAGATGGATGCTTTGTTCAGAACTTGATCCAGGTTTGCTGTGTCCGTGTGACTAAACACCTCTAATTCTTCCCTCTCCTCAGGGACGTCATCAAGAAAATAGACCAGTCCGAGTTTGAGGGATTTGAATACATCAACCCCCTGCTGCTATCCACAGAAGAGTCTGTATGAAGGGGGACCAGCTTCCTCCTTCGCCCACCGTGTGTCTGTCCGAGCTGCCGTCTCAGCCAATAACACTCTGAGAGGCGAGGAGAGGACAACGGGACGGAGGACCTCACCCTCTGGACCTTGTCAAGGAGGCAACGGGAAAGGTTCCTTCCTGCAGCGTTCAGATTGTTTGTTGGAATACCAAACGCGTCTTTTCTTGGCATCCACGAAAAAACAAAGACTTCAAGAACATTCCCTGACGTTACGCTGTCTTCCCCTGACCGGTTCTTTTTGTCCCTGGGCTTCATAGCGCTCTCTTCTATGATCGGAGCAGAGAGCCTGCCGCCATGAACCCGTCTCACGTCCGTGACAGAGACATTTGACAGTCCTGCTGAATCTGCAATTTTAACTGCACTTTCTTCCTTTTCTTATTATTTGTTTAACTATCATTGGGGGGGTGTTGAAGGGGCGACGCCTCACACACAACAAGAATGTACAATGACTCAAAATTAAGTTATTATTGTGCATTATAATGTAGGTAGTGAATCCAGAATTGACAATGCCTTTTTTATTGATGCAAGTGGCGCATTTTCATCTTAAACACAGCATTTGTTTTTATTACCCTGCAGGACTTTCACTAACAGGGGGGGGTGACCACTTTTTATTTAAGAAGTGCCTCAAAGATCCTATTGATTACCATGGCTCTGATCGAACACATCTTTTCTCAAACAACCTCACCCATCCTGCATCTGCTGACACCACATCCACATTTTTAGTGTAATGAAGTCTTTTGAGCAGAGTAGCCTCGAATCATTACTGAATCTTTTCTTTCCCAATGGTCAGTTCCAGTATTCCGTGCAGAGCGGTGTATCTGAAGTCAGCCGGTGCAGAAGGAGTCACGCAGGAAGCTTGGTGTGTACGTGGTTGCTGCCATATGCCAGATGCCGCCGTCCGTACAGCCGTATCGGTAAAGGTGTCCACGGGCCTGTCCCAGTTCAGAAGCACATTAAACCAGGACGTCAGCTAAAAAACAAAGGCTCCACAGTGTGTACAGGCTTGCTGGCCGAGCTCAGATCGTTCTACACCAGCTGCCACTGCGTGACCATCTGCAGCCAGTTGGATGCGTCACGTGACCGGTGGGGTGTGCTGTCTTGTGGAAAAGTGTCTTTTTAGGGTTGTTGTGTGTTTCCATCCTCGCACCAAGGCTGGCTTTACATGGTGCACCTGCAGCTCAGTGCCACTGGGACATGTCGTTTTGCACTGACAAATCTCATCAATAAAATCCCAATGTATTTTTAATAGTTTTATTTCTAGAAGGATAAAAGGTCCAGCGATGCTCCGGATCGTTGTGCAGAGACATGGGGACTGCTGGACAGGAGGACAAACACATTTCATGTCATCACATGCTTCTCATCTTGTTTTAATGCTTTCCCGTGTTGGTATTGTCTTAACTTATGCTATAGTTGAAGGGCTATATGGCTATATAACTAAAACTTGGGATTGGATTCTTCAACATTTTAGACATTTTTAACTTAATAATACTGAAAACAATTAGGAGCTTATGGCTTGACTATTGTAACCAAAAACCCTAGTTCTGTCACCTCGTAGACATTATTGATGCATCCCGGTAAATACTTCATTAGATTACACCTGGCTGACCCATAAAAGACTTCATCCAAAAAGGGATTTCAAATCATATTAATATTCAGCCATGACTCAGAAGTATTTTAGACAAAGCCAGAAAAGACAAGACACTCATCTTTACAACTCACCCCATTTCCACAGTGGTCTCCTAGCAACAAGTCACATGACACACTGACAGACTGGATCGCCCAAAAGAGAGGTTCTATTTCTCCATTGAGCTGTCAGACCCTTTTAAAAACAGACGGCACACAGCAAGCAGATATTACATGATAACAGCTCTAAATGAACACGACCAACAAATAATAAAACAAAATAAACTGACAGCAATATGAAAGAACTAAAGCAAACATTGGCATCTTGTACCAATCCAAGGTTTGAGCCCATCGATTAGGACGAGGTACTTGTACCATATCGTCCACGATTCTACTCTTATTACTCAACCAATAACTCACAACTGCTCATTTCCTACTGAGAGAATTAATGCAATACAGGTTTTTGCAATAGCTTTCTGTCAGTTTTATTGCACAGCTATTTTTAAATGTTACGGTTGGATTTAGTAAATTACACATTAAACCAATCTTTGGTTCCAATTGAACACCATGGATTCCTCTTATAGGCCACAGGGGGGAATAGGAGTGGTATTTATGGGTTATATGGAACTGGAATTGTGTCTATTTAAAATCAAGGTAACACCACTTCTGCACAATACGCCCCGTAGTTCTACATTTACATTAATTCCCAGGACGTTCTCACCTATTGGGGTGAGAATTATTATTACTAACTAATTTCACTTTTTGAAATTCATTAATCGCAATTAAAAGTTAAAACTAAATCTTATTAATTAACAAGGAATCACTTTAGAAAGCGCTTATTTTACCATTGTAGTTTGATTGTAGTTTAAACACAAACTGCACACACGTGATCATCTTGGAGGTGGAACATGTTAAACCAGCGACTCTGCTGCTGTCCTCATGCACTTTGCTGTGCTCTCAACTCTCCATTTGCCAACAATGTCCCGACAGCAGGACGTTTTCAAACCACTGTCTTCTAGGGACACAGTGGTGGTCCTCTGCAGGGTAGACAAATTAAACCAGTTAAACAAGTTCTGGGGTCAAATTTCCAAAAGACTTAATAAAACTAAACCCCGAGCCTTCACAGCTCTATTCGGCACCCAGCCGCCGGGAGTCGTTAATCTGCCGTCAACAGGACGACACGTCCTGCAGAGATGGAAGTAGCCTAGCAGCTAGCTTAGCACTATCAGTCCTAAAGTGGTCCGTTTGCCACTGGTCCCCCTTCTGTTTGACACGTGGAGGAATTCCTCTGCACAGTTAAATGGTAAATGGTAAATGACCTGTACTTGTATAGCGCTTTTCTAGCCTTCTGACCACTCAAAGCGCTTTAACACTACATGACATCATTCACCCATTCACACCCATTCATACACTGATGACAGGAGAACCATACACAGTGACACCTGCCATCAGTAACTAACATTCACACACTGTAGTCGTAGCTACAGGAGCAATGTTGGGTTAAGTGTCTTGCCCAAGGACACAACGACATGCGGGTTAGCCGGGCCTGGGATCGAACCGACAACCCTCTGATTGGAGGACGACCGTGCTCCCCACTCACCCACAGTCGCCCGACAGTTCTTCTGTTGGTTTTACTTCCAATGCAAAAAGCGTCTCCATCTCACTGACTGCAGACGCGGCGGCTTCAGGGGTCGGCCGCAATAATTCATAGATTAACGATTAACTCCGACAACTCTCAACAAGAAAGTACAAGCACATTCACATTACGCTCCCCAATTTGTTTCCATTTTCTCTTTGACTCCACCATTCCAATACTACGGCACACAAAATGAATACGTTCCTGGTTTGTGTATTGGAATAACAAACATTATTCTTGATTTATTCAATTCAAAGCTTTAAACCAAAGCCATGTTATTATAATCACTTCCCGTGTTTCATTTATTGTATTCTAGAGCAGTGGTCCCCAACCACCGGGCCGCGGACCGTTTGGTACCACAGAAAGCCTATATTTTTTTTTTTCTGAAAAATGTTTTATTTTGAAAAATAACCTGATTTTGCCCTAATTATGTGCGCTCGTCCCTCTGACATATTCCCCACGCGTGACCAGGCGTTTTTCTTACAATTTACAATTGTCCTCTTATCGTGCACAGCAGTTTCACCCACCAGCGAACACAGAGCGCGCGGCGACTACAGACTACACCCCCCCCCCGCCGCCGTCTCGCCCGGTCCGCGAAATATTGTCTGACATGAAAACGGTCCGTGAGGTAAAAAAGGTTGGGGACCAGTGATCTAGAGGACAATAAATACAATACAATACAATAAAGCTGCCCAGTGTAAAACCAGCCCGACATGTGATGGTCAAATAAAGTGTCCACTCCATTTAATTCATATGACTGTAACTTCATAAGTACATTTGAGGACGGGTCAGATCTGTTGATACCTACCACGAGCATGGAGTAGAGCGTGTGGCCTCTGTGCACCTCGGAGGAGAAGAGGAGCTGATGGAATCTGACCCGTGCTAGCTTGGTAACCACATAACAGGATTAATTATCAAATGGCCTCAATTAGCTGTAGGCCCTTTCAGGGAGGGAAGAGACGGGCAGAGAGAGGATAGATAATGAAACAGCTCCATTAGCCCCCCCCCCCCCCCCCACAAACACACACACTTCAGGAAGCTAGAAACCACTTGAGCATTCAAGGAGGCTTCGTCCTGCAACCCCCCCGACTCCATCGCCTGGGCTGCGTTTTATGAACCCATGATTTGATCTATTTGCACATTGCTTTTTTCTTGAAACCACTTCACAGAGCAGTGAAGGCCACTCCAACATCTAAAATGAAGAGAAGTCGGTTCATGATTTTTGTTGAAATAAAGCTTGTTGGATATGCTTCATTTTGCTTCACCGCATATTTGTAAATATGTGTAATTATTAAAAATGATACTGGTTTTCCGTGAAAAGAGTCCTTCATTATTTGCAAACAGCAGCAAAATACTGTCTTGCAGACACTACCTCTTTTTTGCGTTGTCTTGTGTTTGTGTGCATTTTGTGCATTTATGTCTGCATAGTGTGTCTGTGTGTGTGTGTGTGTGCGCGCAGTGTGTGTGTCTCCTTCCGCCCTCCTCATTTTCTGACCTCCTCTACTCTTCATCCTGGACACAAGTACGATGCAGTGAACCAACATTGATCATCTGACACCCTTTCTTGTTTACTAGAAATAAATATGAAAACATTCTTCCAACAAATATGAAAACATCTTCTTGCATCTGGATTATTTGAAGAAACCCACCCTCAACCCATCTGAAGAAAACAACTCCAAACCGGTCTCTTTTCTTCCCTTTTTGTACAAAACCCTTGAACGTGTGATCTTTAACCAACTCCCCTCCAATCTCCACCATAACAACCTCCTTGACCTCCACCAGTCAGGCTTCAAGGCCATTCCACAGAGACTGCTCTCCTCGCTGTCTCAGAGCAACTCCACACTGCTAGAGCCGAACTTGGTGTCTCAGGCTCTGCTCTCTCCCTTCTCTCGTCCTACCTCGACGGCCGCACCTACCGGGTAACCTGGAGAGGATCTGTTTCGGAACCTTGTCCTCTTACTGCTGGAGTTCCTCAGGGTTCCGTGCTGGGTCCCCTCCTCTTCTCGCTTTACACAAACTCTCTCGGCGCTGTCATTCGCTCGCATGGCTTCTCTTACCACAGCTATGCCGATGACACCCAACTAATTCTCTCCTTCCCTCACTCGGACACTCAGGTGGCGGTGCGGATCTCTGCCTGTCTGACTGACATCTCTCAGTGGATGTCCGCCCACCATCTGAAAATCAACCCCGACAAGACTGAACTACTTCTCTTTCCGGGAAAAGATTTTCTGACCCAGGACGTGACAGTCAACTTTGACAACTCCCACAACGCCCACTTTGACTGCTAGGAACACTCAGGTGGCGGCACGGATCAGGGCGAGCCTCGCGACGCCCTGTTCAACAACATAATAAGAGGGACGACGAGCAGCATTCTTCCAAGAAGACCCGACCTAAACTCGGTGCAAAAAAAGAACTTTGCCGGAGAAACTGAAGGTAAAACAGCTGGACCTAGATCAGCCTGACCTCACGATCAGCGCCGTCAAAGGGAAGCACATACAACGCTTCAGTAGAGATGTTACAGCGGGAGGTTTAGTTAGCTATGTGCTAACGCCGTATATATGCATCACCGCAGACTTGACTGTGTTTATCGCTTATAGTTAGGGCTGGCTAAGGTTTCTCTGACCAGCCCTTAGTTAAGCTGCTATAGGCTTAGACTTCTTAGGACACACCGAGCTCCTCTCTCACGCTCTCGTTCTACAATAATCCACGTTGTATTAATGCACATGACTAATTCAGCTTCTTTCAGGGAGTTTTTTTTGTGCTTTCTCCCCTATCAGGTCTCCGTAGATCGTGGTTCCTTCGGGACCCTGGTCCTGACACCTGCTGTGACCCTGCTGACGCCTGCTGCTGCCATCATCATCATCATCATCATCATCATCATCATCATCATTATTATTATTTTAAATATTAATCATATTACTGTACTCGTAAACCAACATTACCCTCTGCTAAAGTCTCCGTGCTCTCCCTCCCCACAGGCTTCTGTGGATGGTGCTTCTATGTGATGGTGGTTCTATCTGATGGTGGTTCTATGTAATGGTGGTTCTATGTGATGGTGGTTCTATCTGATGGTGGTTCTATGTGATGGTGGTTCTATGTGATGGTGGTTCTATGTGATGGTGGTTCTATGTGATAGTGGTTCTATGTGATAGTGGTTCTATGTGATGGTGGTTCTATGTGGTGGTGGTTCTATGTGATGGTGGTTCTATGTGATGGTGGTTCTATGTGATGGTGGTTCTATGTGATAGTGGTTCTATGTGGTGGTGGTTCTATGTGATGGTGGTTCTATGTGATGGTGGTTCTATGTGATGGTGGTTCTATGTGATGGTGGTGGTCCCTGCAGTGGTCCTGCTGTGCGTCTGGTTTACTACTCACAGTTACTTGAATCATTTCTGTCATATAGTCTCATGTATTATACATTGTTCATTCTGTACACATGACGTCATTGTAGTCTGTCCATCAGGAGACGGATCCTCCTCTGATGTTCTCACTGAGGTTTCTTCCCTTTTTCCCTCTTGGAAGGGTTCTCATTGTTTGGGGAGTTTCTCTGTGCCGATGGAGGGTTTCGGGACAGAGGATGTTGTATGTGTACAGACTGTAAAGCCCTCTGAGGCAAATTTGTAATTTGCGATATTGGACCTGTAGGATATTAGAAATAAATAGACGATCCGGTTCATAAATTAATAAAAATGCATATAGTGTACACCAGAATACAGCCATGATTCTGAAACTGTGTAATCAATAAAATCATGACAATATTGTAAAACCACTGTAAATCTGCAACTGTAATAGAATAATACCAATGCAGTTATGATCGTATTATATGTAATGTGATCAACTGGAATGCATGCATGTAATACTTGATTGCCCGATATTGACTAAGGGTCATTTGAAATCCGAGTCACATTGAACTCACCAGAAGACTCCCAGAGGTGAGGACACTGACTTTCACACCTTTAAGCATTGGTATAAATACCTGTAGGAACCATTGTTCTCGAGTTCACTGGTGGAGGAACAGACGGGCACTATGGGGGTCAAAGGACTGACCTGGGGCCTGTTGGTCGCTGAGACCAGCGGCTCCTCAGCTGAGATGTTCTTTTTACCACAACACCATGACTTTATTAAATACATTTGATTTAACCTTTAGATCAGCGATGACCTCTGTCCGTCCGGCGTTTCTTCATTTTTGAACACAACAGACCTCAGCACATTGATCGGGTGTTTTCCCAACAAACTAACGTTAGGTTCATAGGTGCATCTTATTATATAACGTTACATATACATGTTCTAATAGATTTTATAGAAATATATTTATCCTTTATTAGCATATATTTGTTATATTCATGTTGGATATTTATAATAGTTATAGTAGTTATTGTATTCTGAATATAGTTGTATACATATCCATTGATAGATATACTGAATTGTTTGACTAAGATGTCCTTATTATGTTAAATATGATGAATAAATGTTGAATGTTCAACTGAAAAGTAATAATGTGTGTTTGATTTTTGCATTGAATCATACTGTGATGTTTACTGAAACTGATTGGCTGGTCCTACCAAAAAAAAAAACATGTATATGTATATATATATATATATACATATATATACACCAGCCCGCCACTGCCCAAAATTAAACAAGTTCTGGGGTCAAATTTCCTTGGGAGTTGGGACAGCAGTATCCATACCCCTGAACCCTGAACCCCTCACAGACTCTATTCGGCACCGAGCCGCCGGAGTCGCTGATCTGCCGTCAACAGGCCGACGCGTCGGGGCCTTTAGCTCCAAGCTGGACGCCTCATATTACTCAAGTGGAAACACGTTCTCCCGCCTTCACTGACCAGCTGGTTGATTGAGATCTAAATGTTAAACTCAAAAAGATGAGATTCTCACTTAGAGACTCCAGTGACTCCTTAAAAGAGACTTGGGGACCTTTTATAAAGTATTTGAAAGATGCTGCAATTCAAGTGGAAAACTGACAGATGCCGCCATGTTTGATATATTTCATATTATATTTGCAATTTCTGTATTTATCAATGACAACGATGTTGCTACGTATCATCGGTGGTATACGGACTACACCACTGTCTGAAAGGTCCTTTGTGGAACCAAAACTGGTTCTCCTATGGCATCACTTCCAGTTGGCACCTTTACTTTTCTGTGTGTTGGTGAAGTTTATTGAGTTGAAACCACACATACAGTCAGGATGAACGGCGGATCTGCACGGTTCTTCTTTGCAGCCAGTCAACATGTCCATCGTTTAACATACGTGCCTTGACACACATGTCGGTGTTACGCCATAACAACTGACGCTGCTCTTCGGCAACAATGAATAACCCACAACAAACACTCTTTAACAGGGTAGAACACCACCACACAACAGCTGCTGACACATTTAAATTGTACATTTAGTAGGGGTGTAACGAATCATTCTAACAACGATTCGATTCAAATCACGATTCATGGTTACGATTCGATTCATGGACGATCTGGGTTCATTTAGAACGATTCGATTCAATTCATTCGATTCCAATTAACTATGGATATTATAAACAAGCAAACAACAATTAGTGGCAAATGTAATAACCTTTTATTTGAATCAAGTGCCATTTTCAATGTAAACATTACACAATAATTACACAATGTTTGGATCAATTCACAGACACCACATCGTAGGGTCTCATGTCTTTACAGATGAACTTGTTACTGTGATGAGTTTGGTGCTGGAGGCCTGAGGCGTCTGCAGAGCTGAGTTACCTGCTGCTGCTGCAGCGGTGACGCTGCTCGAGGTCCTGACTGTCGGCGTTGTTTAATCCCACGGCGCCTTAGTAGACGGCCGGAAAGATTCGTCGTGTTTCCGTGGTTTTTTATTTGGCTTGTACATATTCTACAAACAGCGAGCGACTTATTTAGAACACCTCCGTGTTTGCAAAAGCCAAAATGTTTCCACGCGCTGGATCGATAAGTTGGTTTGTAAATGTCTCGCTCGCAGTCGTCTCCTCCACGCTGTGTGTTGTTGTTGTTCAGAGTTTATCGCGGCTCCCGCTGCGAACTGATGACGTCACAGACAGGCAGACTGAATCAAGTAACGTTTAACGTGTCTAAAGTGCTAAAAAACAAACAAACACACATTCACACCGTTTTTGTACTTAAATCCAATGTGCAGTTTCCAAGTATCGATACAGTCGATTAATTACCATTTCAATCGATTTGTAATCGATATATGTCGTCCGGAATGCCGATTTGCGGAGCACAGATCGATTCAGTTGGATCGCAGGAATATAAATCGATTCAGTGGATGAATCGTTACACCCCTAACATTTATGAAAATGACCCCGATGAACTGCATGCTGGGTAAAGCTCACAACAAGAAGTAACTGCTGCTGCATGAAAACACAGAAGAGCGACACAAGAGGAACAAGGAGAGACCAGAGAGGCAGCAACACAACGAGGCCGTTTGGTTTAGTCAGAAAAGGGTTTATTGCAAAGGTCGAGCCGCTGACGTTCCTCTGTTGGCAACACTAGCAGCCACAACAGCTACAAGCTAACACGCCTATTCAGAGTCATGTGGATTTTGGGCCATGGCGCCTTATACTCAACTACTTTTGGAGCAAAGTATCCTTTTAATTGTAATGTACATAATAGACAATAGAGTTGTTGCAGAAACCTTTTGAAAAATACAATGACAGAAGATTTAGGTCATATAACGAGAGGCCAACTGCTCTGCAGCTTCCAGGTCACAACGCGCTTCTCCAGCGGGTTCTCCAGCGGGTTCTCCAGCAGGTTCTCCAGCAGGTTCTCCAGCGGGTTCTCCAGCGGGTTCTCCAGCGGGTTCTCCAGCGGGTTCTCCAGCGGGCTCACCAGCGGGCTCACCAGGTCACGTCCACATTGACCTCTGACAGACACTGGGCGAGGTGGCCGTCACAGTCCATTTGGGTGAACCTGGAGAGAAACAAGGAGATCTCGGTTGGTACGTGACACCGGAGCTGATCCTCACGGACCGCGTCCCGTTACCGCGGCAGCTGGTAACTCTGGAAACGTTTGAGGGAAGGAATAAAAGTTGGAAAAAACTCCGACATGATGATGAAGAACAAAAAACAATGAGACCTGAAGTTCACGCACACACTGGTATTAAATAGGAAGGTTCCTGTATGGTCCATTTCTGCCCAGATGTTCACACAAACATCTATCAGTGTTAAACACTCACAAGTATCTTGAATAGTAACGTGTTTCTGTACGTTCCTCACATACTTTCTAGGGTTTTATTGCATTTAAGACAACCAGAGGTGTCAGCATCCACTTCTCTCTGCTGGGAGTCTCACTGTGTGTGTGTGTGTGTAGTTGTGAACCTTACATGTCTACATTGTGTGTTTGTGAGGAGACCCATGAAGAGCTAAAACATTCCTTGTTCCTCGTTCTGAATCCCAGCAGAGTGGGACGGGGGACTGAAAGGCGATGGGACAGCTCCTCACGTCTCTACTGACGGAGGTGTCTCTTACCCGTCAGGGAACACCACGAGGCACATGGGGCAGCTCTGCAGCCGCCCCCCTCCTCCACCTCCTGCCACATGTGGCTGCAGCTCCTCCTCCTGCAGAGAACCTCGGCTGGCCTCCTGGTTTGAGAGAGGTCCCGCCCCTTCCTCTTGCTGTGCTCCTGTCCTCCTCTCGTGTCCCCCTGCAGTGGAGGGCCCGGGCGATGAGCTGTGGGAGGATGGCCGGGGTCTCTGGGGGAGGGCTTGGAGGGGGGGCGCCTCCTCCTCGCCGCGGCGCCCGCTGTGAGACGGTGGCGGTGTGGCGGGCCGGTCGGGTCCAGGGAGGGGAGCCACGTCTCTGCTGAGCTCACACCACCACAGCTCTTCATCCAGCTTCATCGGGGGGGCCTTCTGGATACATCAAACCACCAATAACGCATTACAAGGAGACAACATTACTGCAGCAATTGTGCTGCATTAATAACAAAGGCCCGGTTTGCTCAGTGGAAACATTCACAACCATCTGCTGGACCAGCGGTTCCCTTAGGACCATTAGCAACACAGGGGACATTATTATAAGAGTCCCAGAACCAACAGAAAGCACTTGAATCCAAACCATCAATGCGGGTTTGACAGCTCAAGTGCTTCCCCCACAATGCAACTGGGACCAAAGAGAAATCAGACTTCAAAGCTTGGAACTGAAGCGATCACATGACCTCACATGGAGCTTCCAGAGGAGAAGGAGCTCAGGCAGCAGGTTGCAGAGGATCCGAGGTGGTTCTGGACTGGACACTGCACTCTAAGCAGGTCTCACTTGTCCCCGACGGATAAGAGTGCTAAGGAAAGGAGCTTCAATGCTTCCTTACCTAGGTCCTTAAGGAACCACTGGACCTTCCTTTATGAAGGGAAAGGAGATCATTCAAATCATTCAGATCATTTAAATTTCTCCGCTGCAGACTGACGTCACCAACGTGCGTCTCAGAGCTACGTCCCTTAGTGAAGGTGGAGACGAGTCCCTAAACACCGCGGTGTCTTTTTGTCCTTGGCCCCGGGACGCTTCGCACAGAGGTCACGAGTAGACGTTAGGGGGCATTTTTTGGAGTATGGAATCCAGCCTCAGTATGGAACAGGAACAGGAAATGTGTTCATACCGCTGCGGATGGATGTGGGAGGTCAGGAACCGGGTCCCAGTGCAAATCCCCAAGGTCGGGCAGAGCGGACTTCAGCGTCAGCGCCCACAGGTTCTCCGCCACAGGGAGACACTCGCCCCTCCACCACGCTGACCTGTGGGGCAGATGACGTAGATCCTTATCGCTAAGGCCTCCCAGCACGCTGCTACGTCACGCGAGCTTTTCACCGTGTTTACGACTAGATTTCATCCTCACAGCGCAGCAGCAGAGGCTTTTTCTAAATGATTAGGTTTGCATTTTTAATCTGCCAATGAAATTATTCATGAAACGCTCTTTGATCTGATGCACTGTGTCTACTTGTGTAAAGAACAAAGTAAGAGGCAGACAAATGCAAATCCACACAGGACCTTCAAAGTGTAAAAGCACAAATGCCTTCACATTTTTCCAGAAGCAACTGCAGGACGTTGTGGGGACATGTGTCCCCCTTTAGTTATAAAGGCCTGTAAGAGGACGCGCGTCGTGTACTCATTGTTGCAGTTTAGTTTAGTTAGTTTAGTGTCAGGCGTCGGTTGTTATTCTGCATCTGTCTTTGATTTGGTCAACAAGGTCAACGGGGTCAACATCTCACGTGTTAAAAGCTCCTGTCTGTAACGTTTCACATTACTCTGTAATATGCGATTCTTCCTTAAACCAAACCGAGATGTGACGTCGGAGCGCAGGTGTGCGTCAGATCCCACGTGGTTCGCGGCTTGGCGCGCACGCGCACGCACCTCCCGGTCTCCGCTGTCGGCGCGAGCGCGCTCCTCTTCGGTGACGTCTTTGCCGGATGCTCGTCTCTGAAGGACGACTTGTTGCGTTTAAGTTTCGACTTTGAATGTTTCTGAGACATTTCGTTACATTACGTCATCACAGCACCTTTAAACCTCCGCGCGTGTGTCCCAAACAGAACTTCTTCTTCTTCTTCTTCTTCTTCCTCTTCTTCTTCTTCTTCTTCTTCTTCTTCTTCTTCTGCGGCCGGATGGCGGCTCGCGGACAGCTTGAAGGTTCGTACCGCCCTCTGTTGAGCGGGAGGGCGCTTCGTGACGTCATTGGCGTCGGCATTGGTCATCGGCGTTTATGTCACGCCTGCTCCGGACTACCCACAATGCACTGTGGCGTGCCGCTGTATCCAGATGTTTCCACATGAGAGAGTTAATTGGATTAGATTTGACAACAAGCACCATGTAGGAAATGTGTTTTTCCTGGTTAATGATAATACTGACCGCTAGATTATTAGTCACATGTTGTGCGATGAAGATCTAATCTAGAAAATAACTTGTTCGGTTAGTAATCGTTTTATCTATTCCACGCATATCAAACGGAATAATTAAGTCACAGAGACAAAACAAGGATAGCATTCAATGACGCTGTGTGCACATCGCCACATGTCACACGTAAATACACATACAGAGACGGTCAGTGTGCAGCGACGACATGTATGATCTCCATCCTTTCGTAAAGGATGCTCCTGTGCTTCCTACTGGTTGCTAAGAAGAAAGGACTGGAGAGAGGTCTGCAAACCAAGAGGAGCCACCCAGATGTGACCGTGGGGTCCACCCTGCAGGTGAGCCCATAGACCTGCACCTTTTGAAACCTTGCATTCATCATTTTTCCATCGCCGTCTCAGAATAGGGCAGTTGCCGTGTGTTTTTTCGCCACCAATGAAATGTAGGAACCATATTTGGAATGCTGAGGAGTGAGATGGAGAAGCCTTACATGTCTCTGGTAGTGGCAGAATCATGTCCATCAGCCATAAAGCATGTACTACTTAACTTAACTATCTTTATGTGCAAACTGTTCTTTTAAATTGACAAACATCCCTCTGTGTAATTATTGGAGCTATTTGAACCAGTGCTTAAAAATCATTGTGACCTCTGAGATTTATACAGAGGAAAACAAAGCTTGGAGATATGGAGGTACAACAACAATTTATTAACAGCAACATAAATGTATGTATTTATTTAAACAAGTGTTGTGTGTGCGTGTGTGCGTGTGCGTGTGCATGTGTGCGTGTGTGCATAGATTGAACTTGCCTGCTCAGCTCTTTGCAGGGTGTCATCTCCTCTATCCCGCTGCCTTAATGTGTGCTCTTGAGTCTCTGTGGTCATATTTTCGTGCTGTTGTCAGAAGCAAAGGCTTGAGTTGAGCGTTTCCGTCCCGTCTGTTGACAGCTTCTGTCTGTGCTCACAGGATGCTGCTACGTGTTCAGCACTTTGTTCTTTTTAAAGGGGAGAGGGATGACGGTCTCACTAAGGTTTCGTCCCTGTTTGTCTTCCTGTGCCGATGTGAGGGTTTCCAGACAGAGGACGTGTCGCATCACTGTAAAACTCTCTGAGGCAAATTTGTCATTTGCTATTTTTGGCTTTACAAAATAAAATGAATTGAAATGTGATTCATCAGGACCTGAGGTAGGTGGCGTAGTGCTCGTGCCCTCTGGGTACCAATGCCTCTGAGTACCAGGCCGGATACATGCGAGAAGCAGCAGTACTGTGCCGGTACTGAATAGCGGTGAGTAGCGGCCCACTTCGAGCCCTGATTAGAACCAATAATTTTTCGCCTCTTTTCATCGACTAACCGTTCCCTCTGAATGCCCCTAATCAGGTTCCATCGGCACATCCTTCCATCATTGACCCTGAACATGGAGCATGCGATGCTATTTTCAGACTTAATGTACATCCTCTCCGTCCTCCCTGCATGTTCCCTCAGTTTAGTCCTCGAGGTGATCACCACTGAGACACCTGACCACCTGACACACGTACCTATCTCGGTGTGAAACCGCTGTCCTCTACATCAGCCGGTGGGGGACTTTCACCTACTGAACGTTGCTTAAGCAGGTTTTAGCTCATCTACTCATGTGTTAACAGTGTTTTGTTACAGATATTATGTCACACTTGCGCATGTATTTCTACTCCGTGAACACTGCAGAGCTTTACACTGGGCAGGAGTTCTAACTGCAATGATAATACTTTGTTCCCTTCTGGAGGGCACCGAGACAGTGGAAAGTTGAAGTCATAATAACGGTGGGATTTTCTGCGCTCTTTAAGCTTTTGGCCAAAAGAGAGGGACCAACGGAGAGTGGCTACACTTATGCAATGGAAAGAAGACGAGGGAAAGCTGGACCGAACGGAAGGAAAGAGGAGAGCTTTATTTCAAGGAAACTGCTGCAAACCGGCGCTGAGGGAAAACCTGCCACTTTGAAATAAGGTGAGAGCATTTCTTTGGACATGATGTCACAGGAGATGAGTCCCGCCGCTGGACTGCTGCCGCTGGACAATCATTCTCTCCCACCTGGACCACAGAGGGGCGGCGACAGAACCAGAGCAGTGGGCCGGGCCTGTGGTGCTACTCTGAGAAGAAGAAACCCGGCGCCTGGAAACAAATGTTACGGCACGTGATGCTTTGTTGTGTTCTGCTGCCGTGGCAACAGCGAAGATCACAAGGTGAATAAAAGTGAGGGAGCAGCAGCTTTACCGGTTGAAGTTAGAGAAATACCCCATTGGGAGGTTCTCCGTGGAGTGATGCGAGTGTTCCTGGTAGTCTGAAGCCTGTCAACCCAGTATAGCTTTGTTTTTACTGTATGATACAAGGATAACGACTAGTTTTAGGTCCCAAAGGTATTCACTTAGGAGGCTGCTGTTTGTGTGCGTCATTAAGCCAGTTGTCCTTTAGCTTTGCTACGTTACAATGATCCTCGCTTGCCTTAACCTGGTGTTTCTCTTACCATTGGAACAGGGGGGCGCCCCCACTCTGAAATTCCTTCCCCCTCCCTGGAAAAGTGTGGAATAAAAAACACGCACAGCAGTTCCACACTGATACGTGCGTGAATGTACGTGTGGCAGCACGGAGAACACGGGCGGACTGACCCGCGATCCGTCTGTCCGACTCACATCAGGTCACATCATGTCCATCAGGTATGTTGGTGCAGGTTTTACAGGGTTGGAGAAGATCCCGGCAAACATTAGACTCAAGAAAAGAGTTGAGAATACTTAAAATAGTTAAGCAACCGATTTTGGTCCCAGTTGAAATCTAATTCAGAACCCTTGATGTACCACATTCCCAAAGCACTGGTTGATTACCTGGTCATCAGGTGTCTAGAAGGATCCTCGTGTCCTTCCCAAGGGTTCCGCTGTGTGATCTGTACAGCTTGAGAAGCTGCAATGAGCATCAGAAGATGGCAGGAAGGTCTGCACCAGGTCCACTCTGTAACTTAAATCTGAAGAACTCAGAAAGGTGACAGGTTTCATGTAAATGTACAATTTATGAAAATCTTCTTTTTGGATCTTTCAAAAGAAACGAGAACATTTGGCAAAATGTATATTTAACATTTCATCAATGAAGGAAACATGTAGGTTGAGGAGTCTCACTCGTAACCAAAAGAACGGCTTGTTGCTTAATGTCTCCTTCCTTACGTATCTCGTGCACCTCAGGGGTACCTGAAGCTAAGCTAGCAGGCTAAAGCCTCCAGGTTCAAGGCCACCAACACTACCGAGGGCAAAGCACTCTGCCGCTACATGTTGGCTGACCTAGCTAACATGTTAGCTAACCTATGTATTGGTTTGTTTGTGTTAGCTAACCTAAGGTTAGCCTAAGGCTAACCTAAGGTTAGTTACATTAAGAAAACAGGTTTGCCTGGTTCATTTGTGCATGAAATAAACGGCACTCTGCAGCAGCACTGGAGCTGTGCGGCGTTGCTATTGTGGGATATTAGAAATAAACTAACGACCAATGATAAATTAACTATTAATTAAAATGGATTTAGTGTACACCAGAATACAGCCATAATTCTGTAACCATGTAATCCATAAAGTATTGAGAATATTGTAAAAATCACTGTAATCAATAGAAGAATACCAATGTACAGCTACGTTTGCATTCAATGTAATCAACCAAAATGCATGTACGTAATACTTGATAGCACCACAACTGATATTGAGTGAGAGACTTTCAAATTCCAAGTTACATTGAACGCAGCATTGAGTGTAATACCTCATTGCACCACTTTATCTATGGAAAACTCATTCAAATACCCAGCCACCTTGAACGCACCTGAAGATGTCCTGTGATCAGAGGCGTGGACGCTGCCGACCGCACCAACTCTAACCCAATCACCACACCCAGTCCTCCTGTTGGTCTAACAAAGTTACACCAACAGCATAGTTAGTGCACCTTTTCCATTGTCTATACATGTACGTGTGTCCCCTTGTTGGGGATTCGCTGGCAGACGGTAAACTACGTCTCCTGCAGACGTGCCCAGTGGAAAACATATTTCTATTTGTAGTCTCCTTCGTCTTCTTCTTTTACGGCGTTTTCTCTCTTTGCCGAACACGTATTGTGAACAGAAGCCAATGTGCCTTGATTTCTTTGGCAAACTGCGACTGTGAGTCAAGCCCTTCCTGCTCAGCAGATAATGTAATAAGAAACGGGAAGGACAGCAAATTACAAGTAGCCTACACAATCAGCATCATTGAAAACAAGGCCTGTCTAGCTCAGAGAAAACAAGCATTCAAAACTGGGGGCCCCTGTGCCATGTGACCACTCAGGATACATGGTACCCGGACCCCTCAGGACCGGGTACCATGTATCCCGAGTGGTCACCATGTGCTACTGTGAGACCACCAGGACTCCAATGATCCCAAAGGAACCTGAAGCTGTCGTTGATGGAGGTGGGGGCGAGACCGTCTCCCTGTCACTTCCTGTAGTCCAGAATCAGCTGCTTATGGTCTCCTGCCAACAAGATACCAGGGCGCTGATGTCCTCCCTCCTCGCCTGCCTCAGCGCGCCTGAATCAGGCCGTGTTGTCAACAAACTTGGGGAAGGTGTTTCATGTGTGTGGAGTCAAGGAGTCAAGGAGAGGCCTGAACACGCAGCCCAAGGGGCTCCGTCCAACGCATCAAAATCTGTTACCCTTCCAGTATCAAGGTCTGAAGGAATCCACTTGAAACGCCCTCCCCATCCAAATCTGCCAGGCTCCCACTGCGCCATCACTCAAACAAGACCCCAGAACAAAGCTCCTTTCCTAACCCCTACATGACGCATTCTCCAGTTACATTTCTGTTTTTTATTATACTTACATTACATTACAGGTCATGTAGCTGACGCTTTTATCCAAAGCGACGTACATTGCATTTTTAACCCAAGGCTTAGGAGGAGTTAGGTGTCTTGCTCAGGGACACTTTGACATGGGACATGTCCCCTCTACCCCTGTGCCACGTCGACCCCTTATATACGTCCTAAAGCGTCTTTGGCTTCCCAGAAAAGCGCCCAAAAAACCTATTATTATAAGATACGAGATTACCTGTACGAATGTAATCCCTCCGTAGACACATTGTGCATAACTGGTCATGTTGTAACGTTGTGAGGAATGTTGAACAGAGCATTATGAGGAACAACATTCCATGTTCATTAAGCACACTCAGAACTCCCCATCCTACACGCCTCACACGTGGCATCACGCAACATCGCGTCGCGATGAATCATACCTGACGGCTCCCTTCTCTTCTCTGGCCATTGTCAGCGTACAGGCTCGCCTGGGAAAACTTTCCACCTCAGTTTTCTCATGGATCCCTTTCTAACAGGAGCCCCCAGAATGTTCTCGGGTTCTCTTCCGCTGATCGCCCCTCTGCCTGCTGGCCTCCCCCGGAGGATCTTACCTCCATCTCCCCCCGGCTGCAGTTTCAGCCATGTTAGGCTAGAGGATGCCAAAGGAACACAGAACTGCTTATTGAGTGAGGACTTCAGGCAGGACCTCCTGAGGAGTAAGAATAATATTAATTATTATTAATCACTCCAGGTTTTTTTTCCTGGGCCCTGAAACTAAATCACGTAGCCTTGATCAAAAACCCAACCATCAAAGACCATTTCTTGTTGATTGACATCTGATCCATGGTAAACGGATCAGGACCGCAGAGTCTTCTTCTTCTGCCGCAAACTATAGACACACGTCTCCAGACTAAAAGACTGCTTACATTGTACTTATAACGGCTCTTATCTACAGCAAAGTGTAAATTGGCATATTTAAAGAAATCGTACTTTCTTGTTTCTTGTTCTTCTGAGTTTGAGTCCTTATGGTTGAAATGCACTTCTTTGGATAAAAGCGTCAGATAAATGACACGTGATGTGATGTAACTGTCTCTCCAGCCTCGAACCAAATGATTCACATAAACACGCTTTTCTTTTGCTACATTCAGGGTCCTGAGAAAAATAGTAAATCGGATCGTCTTGTGTGGAAGAGCAGATTGCATTATGTTTGAGTTGATGAATGAACGGATTATGACATTGATTACAAAGACAACAACCGGAGCTTTTAGCCAAATATTAGCCGGATGAGTACATTTCAGAAAGCAATCTTATCCGTAGGCTCACAGGCTACACCAGCGCTTCCCAAACTCGAGAACGCCGCGGCCCACTTTGAAATCTGAAAATATTTCGCAGCCAATCAAACCTTTAATCACAACTCTGATCAAAACATAATGATTAAATAAGCTCCATATCTCACGCGCTTGAGCGCCGCTCAGCATCTCGCCGTCGTAGACGAGCTTTGGCGTGTTTGTCAGAGCGCCTTGAGCGGCGTGTACGACCAGTACGGATCAACCGAGTAACCAATTGATCCATGTGTATATAAGGCGCTCCGGATTATAAGGCGCTGTCGTTTTTTGAGGAAATTAAAGCCTTTTAAGTGCGCCTTGGAGTGCGGAAAATGCGGTATATTTACTTTAATACTACTAGAGGGCGCCGCGTTTGTTAATTTTTGTTTGTTTGTTAGTTTGTTTATTAATCTGTCCGTTTAAATTGTTTGTGCTTCATTAACTAATGTTTCACATAACTAATGTGCCCCATCATAAATATTTTTATATTAAGTTCAAACTTTAAAAAATTGAAAATGAAAAAACATTTATTTATTGTAAATGACCTCTCGCGGCCCACCTGCAGTACCTTCGCGGCCCACCAGGGGGCCGCGGCCCACACTTTGGGAATGGCTGGGCTACAACAATTAACTCACTCCATTCAGACCTCTTTGGGAATACTACAGAACCACACTAGGCTGTCGGGAGTAAACTAAATGACTTATAACTAAATAAATAGAGTATTCCGGGGTAAAAGAAAGTCCCCAACATGTCATGAAGTAAATAACAAACACGCGCGCTCACTAACGGAGTTGTTTCTGTGGGAAAGTAGACGCGCGGCACGTTTTCCCACATCACGTGAACGCGGCATTCGTTGTCTTCTCTCCACAGGGCAGCGGCGGGGGGCGGCTAGTTCCTGGAAGAGCCGGCCTGCCTGCGGAGTCACTCGCATTCCTGGCTGGGATTCAATGACTGAGCCAGACACACACACGCAGGGGGAGGGAGGGAGATACATAGCGGGGGAGGGAGAGAGAGAGAGAGAGAGAGAGAGGGGGGAGGGAGGAGGGAGGCTGGCTCTCAGACGTCTCTCCCCGCAGTCACAGTGAACCGCGGGGGCAGAACGCAGCGGATCGCAGCGGAAGGAGCCTGAAACGAGGGTCGTTTTGTCCGCAGCTCGACGGGCGGAACCTGCGCGGACTTTCCGAGGCGTTTCTTCGGGCATGGACAGTCGGCGGCCCGCGGCCGGCAGCGACGGGCCGGCGCTCAGCCTGTAGTCGCGGCCGGGACAGAAGTGCGAGCCCGTGGGACTTTTTACCGGATGTTTGATGAGGCGCCCCGCCGCTCGGCTCGCCTCTCGCACCCCGTGGATTCGCCGGGCTCGCGCGCGCACGCACACTCGCGACCGTCGGATTCGCGCTTCTGAAGTCGCGGGAGCAACATGGAGCCCGTCAGCGGCCAGAGCTTCCAGCCGCACCCGGGACTGCAGCGGACTCTGAAGCAGTTCCACCTCAGCTCCATGAGCTCGCTGGGCGGCCCGGCGGCCTTCTCCGCCCGCTGGCAGCACGAGCTGCTCTTCAAGAAGGAGGGCGAGGAGCCCGAGCCGGTCCCGCGGCGTCTGCCGCCGCCGCCGCCGGCCATGCCGGGCCCGCTCTTCATCCCGTCCGACCGCTCCACGGAGAGGTGCGAGACGGTGCTGGAGGGCGAGACCGTCTCGTGCTTCGTGGTCGGCGGGGAGAAGCGGCTGTGCCTGCCGCAGATCCTCAACACGGTGCTGCGGGACTTCTCGCTGCAGCAGATCAACTCGGTGTGCGACGACCTGCACATCTACTGCTCGCGCTGCACGGCGGACCAGCTGGACATCCTCAAAGTCATGGGCGTGCTGCCCTTCTCGGCGCCGTCCTGCGGCCTCATCACCAAGACCGACGCGGAGCGGCTGTGCAACGCCCTGGTCTACGGAGGCGCCTTCCCGCCGCGCTGCAAGAGGGAGCCGGGCGGCGGCTCGCTGGAGCTGGAGCTCACCGAGAGGAGCTTCAGGGTCTACCACGAGTGTTTCGGCAAGTGCCGGGGCTTGTTCGTGCCGGAGCTGTACAGCAGCCCCGGCGCGGCGTGCATCCAGTGCATGGACTGCAGACTCATGTACCCGACCCACAAGTTCGTGGTGCACAGCCACAAGGCTCAGGAGAACCGGACTTGCCACTGGGGCTTCGACTCGGCCAACTGGAGGGCGTACATCCTCCTGGGCCAGGATTACTCGCTCAAAGAGGAGAGGGAGGCGGCCCGCCTGCAGCAGCTCCTGGACGACGTCAAGGAGAAGTTCGACTTCGCCAACAAGTACAAGAGGAGAGCGTCGTCGTCCCGGGTGAGTCGGTTATTCACGGGCTTGTTGCCACTGTCGCTTCTTCTCTGCAGCGCTGTCCCCTGCGTGTCCCCCCCTCCCCTCCGTGGGACACGCTGGATTTGGGGCAGAGCCCCTCCAAAAGAGTGCTGGAGGGGTCAAATTAAGGCATTGGGGCTCTTGTGTGCAAAAGCACCTGTATGGTCAGTTTGGGGTCATCAGCAGACGCGCGGTTACTATTTGGCCTCAATGACGACAGAAGCCCTCCGGCGGCCATGAAGCCGCTCGTGATGAACCTCTGGGCTCCACTGCAAACATCACCTCATTTACCAGCAACCGCTGCGCAACTGCATTTAGCTGTTCTATTCTACACACACACACACACACACACACACACACACACACACACACTTCTGCTTGATCCTTACATTCCGGTGCGTGGTCCCATGGGGGGCAAACGTTGGAATGATGTGATGCTTCCTGTGGTTTGTCATCAGACACGTGACACAGTGAAGCTCTGTGAGGGGGTCAGCGTCTGCGCTGGTGTGTGCGGACCAGTAATTGGTTGTATAGACTGATGAAAGGCCCCCCCCCCCCCCCCCCCCTCGGACCCCCACACCCTCCTCTAGAAAAAGGCCCGTGCAGCCATTTGCATGAGCTGTTACACATGAATGGAGCTGATGGAGCAGAGTTAGAAGTATTGTGGTGGAAACATAATATGATCACAACAAAGGAGGCTTTCAGCAGACATCCACCTTCCCGAGGCCAGCACCCACCCATCCCCCCCCTCGCCTTACTCTGCTCCAGCCCCACTGAAACCAGAGCGGACCCCTGGGCGGCCCCCCAGCCCCCCACGGGAGTCTGCCAAAGAAAGAGGGGTGGCTGAAGGGTCCGAGTCGCGCCCTGCAGGGTGAACACCAGCCGCCACACGTGTCCATTCACACTCAAGTGGGCACACCCCAAGCCCCCCCCCCCCCGTCCCCCCCCAGGGGCCTCCTCTGCTGCTGTAAGAGCCGACGGGGCACCGAGCGTTAAGACTCGACCAGCTTTTTATTCTGACACCTGCAAACACCTTGTTTTAAGGGACGCTAATGAGGGAACACATGCTGGGGGGGGGGGGGGGGGGCGCGCCGCCGTGTCAGCACATTGGAGCAGGACCGTGGCGGGGGTTCTTGGGGGGGGTTCTTGGAGGGGGTTCTTGGGGAGGGTTCCTGGAGGGTGTGAGTGGCACCAGCAGTAACCAGGCGGCTCTGTGAATGTGAATGGGGGGTTTCAGAAGCCGTCTCGCATGCAGACAGACACAGGAAGTGATGTCGTCACACACTTCGAGGAGCTTCCTTCTCACGCGGCGCCAAACCAGCAGTAAAGGTTTAAACGGTTCTCATGTGAGAGGAAATGAACCTCTGCGTGATTTTACCTTAATTGGGTTGATGTGCTGGGGGTGGAGCCCCCCCCCCCCCCCCCCGGTCCTTTCTGGCTCGTCCACATGTGGGCGACGCTCATAATCAGTGGCGTTCGGTGGCGGGATGTTTAGGTAACGGTGAAAGGCAGATATGAAGACGCCGGGGGGGGGGGGGGGGGCAGGCTGTTCGTGTCCAACTCACCGCTGTAGATTGAGGTTCAGCGGCACTTGGGGGGAGTCAGGGCGTTGGGCCCAGCGTGGCCCAGCGTGGCCCAGCGGGGCCCAGCGTGGCCCAGCGGGGCCCAGCGGGGCCCAGCGGGGCGTTGGCAGGGGAAGCTTCATTCACTGGAGGCAACGGGACCGTTTAGCTCTCAAAAAATCCACTTTTAGCCAATTGTGTGGTTTTAATATATGTCTGTATGTGTGCAGCAGCTAGTACGTAACCCATCGGTCCCGCCCCCTAAAGCCCCAACGCCGCTCGGCATGTGAAGGGGCTGCTTGTTTCAGCGAGGGGGGGCGGTGGTGGTGGTTTGGGGCCTGGAGGAAGTGAACTCCCCAAGGTCCTGTTTCTTATGCAAGGCGCAGTGTCGTCTGAGCCTGCTGACAGACGCCGTGTCCACGCGCTGGACGGGACAGCGGCCGTGTCCACGCGCTGGACGGGACAGCGGCCGTGTCCACGCGCTGGACGGGACAGCCGCCGTGTCCACGCGCTGGACGGGACAGCCGCCGTGTCCACGCGCTGGACGGGACAGCCGCCGTGTCCACGCGCTGGACGGGACAGCGGCCGTGTGCATGTCAATGGTGCCCCCCCCCCGCTGCCTCTTATTCCTGGTCCAACTAGCACTCTGCCCACGGGGACTGTCCTCGCGTCCCCGGCGTGTCCAGCTGGAGGAGCTGTGCTTGGAGAGGAGCTCCTGACGTTGTGGCCATTCGGCGGGTCGGGTTCCACCACACATCCTGCCTCCTGGCTCCTTACTGCCCCGAGGCTGCTCACCGGGGGCAGCGGGCGTCAGATGCGTCTTCTCTGGAAGATCACGTCTCGTGTCGCCTGGCTGCGTTTCTTCTTCAGCCCCTAAAATGTCCTCATTAAGAGGACACGTGAGTGTTTGGGGACAAACGGCTGCAGTGGTTGGTTGTGGAGGTCAAACAGGAAATCAGCGGCGGGGCAGCTTTCATCTGGGGGGGGTCGCCCCCCATCCAGGTTCCCCCCGTGCACCCATGTGTTTGGAGGAGAGCCAGCAGCACGCGACCTTTCCCTCCCCAAATAAAGAGGCGACCCCCCTCAACCCTCACCCCTCGCCTCCCCTCACCCCTCGCCTCCCCTCACCCCTCGCCTCCCCTCACCCCCCCCCCTCACCCCTCGCCTCCCCTCAACCCTCACCTCCCCTCACTCCCCTCACCCCTCGCCAATAGGGTGCTGCTGAGCAACTCCCACGGGACAGATGGCTGTCTGATGAAAGCAGCTAGACTCTCTCTCTGTGTGTGTGTGTGTGTGTGTGTGTGTGTGTGTGTGTGTGTGGATCAGCTGTAGGAGAAGATTAGCATGAGCTCACTGCCTACTCATTTCCATCCCCATCTGCCCGTCTCCCACAGTGATGCTTCCCCACACACACACACACACACACACACACACACACAGACTCCACCCCCGTAACGCCTGCTCCGTCCTATGATGAATACAGAAGCAGCGCCGGCAGGACGTCCCGTCGGTGTGACGTCAGCGGTCCCTCATGCCGCTGGGACCACGGCGGACGTCTCTCTCCGAGCGGCTTCCCCTTAGTCTGCGCCTGAGGAGGCCGGGTACAGACGGGGGGCGCAGGCGGGGGAGATTGGGGACAAACTTGCGTCCCGCTCAGAGTCCGCCCTGCTGCCGAGGAGCCGTTATTCTGTCGGGGTAGAGGCAGGCCGGTCCTGGGCCCCCGCTGAGTGGTTTTCTCGCGTTGCCTCGGCTTGGGGGGATGTGTGTCATTGTGAGTGGGAGCGGGGGGGGGTTGGGTGTGCTGGCTGGCCTTTGTCACCTCCTTTGTGTTGGTATCAGCTGTGGATCTGTGATGGTGGGGCGGATAGAGGCGATGACCCCCCCCCCATCCCCTCCAGATGATCAGTGCTGAGTCATGGAGCCCCCACCTGTCCAAACACAGTAACTCCACATCGTAGTTCAGACCTTCTTTCACTTCTCCTGATTGGGCCGTTAACGGGTGGGCGGGCTCATGCACCCATCCCGCCTTCCACATTGTGATTTAAGGGCAACATAAAGGGGCTTTTCATGTAGGGTTCTGCCCACCTGAGGGGTTTGTCACCCACGTTTCAGGGTAACACGCGGATTGAGAACACTAAGAACTCTGCAGGGATTATTTGGGTTTACCAGCTGCAGGTTGGACCTGGTGATGACGTGTGTCTCTTCTTCCCGTCTGCTCTGACTCATCGCGGCCGTCTAGTCGGCCTCTTTCAGGCGCGAGGGGCTCATCTTAGGCCGGATTAATCAGGGACCAAGCAGAGGAACCTGGTCCTGGACCTGTTTGCCTCGACAGGTTCTACAAGGAGTCTGCAGAAAGCGTGTGCGTGGGCGGCAGCCTGTCATGGAGGTGAGGAGGCTCAGGACGCGGCTCGGTCCAGACCGGCAGACAAGTCTCAGACAACTGCTCCTCAGGTTCATGAGGCGCCCCGCTTTAACACCCCCCCCCCCACACACACACACACACACACACTTCAACCAGAGATCTACACAAACACACCGCGACCCCCCTCACACACACACTGACAGGCGGCATCCCCCTCGACACACTGCATACCATCATTACAGAGCAGACCATGGCTCTCTGAAGTCCTCGCCCTCATAATTAATGTAATTTGTAAATGTGTGTGTGTGTGTGTGTGTGTGTGTGTGTGTGTGTAACACCCTCTGACCCACAGCGAGCACAAAGACATCATTCTCACTGTCTCTCCTCAGAGAGAGACTGCGCAGGCTCTCTAGATATCTGTTTGTATAAAGCGTGTGTGTGTGTGTGTGCGTGTGTGCGTGTGTGTGCGTGTGTGTGCGTGTGTGTGTGTGTGGCAGCACTTGCGGCTGGCTGAGCTGTCACTCTTCTCACATCGATGATGCCTGTCTGCCACATTCTGGGGCTGAAGCTGCCTCCGGGCTCCACCCTCCGTTGATGAGGTGGTGCTTTTTGCATCTGCTCGCATGGCTGCAGGCTGCGTGTTCCTCCCGCGGTCGGTAAAGGCTGCACATGCACATGCGTGGGTCAGATGGGTTCGTTGGCTCTGCGGGTGTGTCTCCATGCAGAGGTGTTACCATGAGCCCGGTGATGGGACGTCACTCAGCACTTTGCACTGAACGTATTTGTGCACATTCTATTTCCCCACCATGGAAATCAGGTGAAATGAGATAATTGGGTTTGTTTTTTATCATTTTCAGCTTCGCTGGAAAGTGACAGAAACGTGGTTTTATTGAATAATAATCAATAATAGATCAGTTAAATAACTACTGTAAATGAAGACTTTTTGGGACACAGATCGCCTAATTATGTCTTTAGAATTCTTCAGTGCCAAACAAAGCCATGCGTTTGGTTGACCCAATGGGACGGCCGTGTCACATGTGCGCCACACATGCACCAGCGGG